GTAATTTCTTTATGCTGATTTTCAGAGGGGACCATGCTATCGATGCCTTTTCCCTATACCACCTAATCCAAACCATGTCACTAACTGCAGTGAAGGCGGTGTTCTTGGGCCAGTCGTGGGTGTCATAGGCAGCCTGCAAGCACTTGAAGTCCTCAAAATTGCAGCAAAACTTGAGCGTGAGTTGGGGATGCAATGCTTAAATTCACTTCTTGCGTCAATATAGAGATCTTTTAGCCAGCTTCTCTTCGAAGTTATATCTTTTTGATGGAAAGTCCGGCAAATCACGGACTATTGCTATAAGACCACGGAATAAAGAATGTGCTATTTGTGGTGATAGCCCGACTATAACTAAGCTCATTGATTATGAAGCTTTCTGTGGTTCTCAAGCATGCGACAAGGTGTGGTTGACAATAATGGCTTACTCTAAATCTCATTCCCTTTTTTTAGGTTCAACGATTGCATTTATTGGAACAAAATGATAGAATATCTCCTTTTGATTATTCTGTCGTTAGAAGCTCCGGTCACAAAACAGTACTAGTAGATACGCGGCCACCACATGAGTTCAAAATTGCCTCTTTGGAGGAGGCCAAAAGTGAGATTGCAAATTAGTCATTCAGTTGATATCACTTAGATATCTGAAAATAGATCTTACTTTGGAAAGTCTACGGCGACTTGACCCTACCTCTATTCGCGAAAAATTGGGGCTCAATACGAACAACTGTGAAGAAGGTAAATTGCAAAAATATTTTGGGTTGACATTCATAATGGTATCTTACAGTATTCGTAATCTGTCATCGTGGAAACGATTCTCAAATTGCTGTAGAACTCCTCAAAGAAAAGCTCAAACCACTTCGTGTCCGTGATATTGAAGGCGGCTATGAGGCTTGGGCAGGGAAGATTGACACCAGTTTTCCGCACTATTAATCCTTCAATGTTACCTTTACTCGATTTTGGAATGTTTCATTGCTGTTTTCGCATCGAACTTGGATAAAACTAACTAACTTGGATATTTATATAAATTTCTTGTATTCCAGAGGTTGGTCAAAATCTTACAGTCATTATGATTTGTTCACCTCATTTAATTTTTTTACTGTGCAGAACGCGCATTTTCGAGTGTCAAATCTGTGTCAGACAATCACTTGGTCTTCATTGTAGTAACATGGGAGAAAATGATGCTCATGTTTGAGGTGCCTGAGGTTTTGAGGAACTGGCAGATGGAGCTTGAAGCTTTCGGAACAGTAGCGGGCAAATCCTGGAACTATCTCT